TTAACCCTTAATGTAGCACTTTAATCTATCCTTTGTAATAATGTTTCTAAGCGAAAGTATATTTGAAATCCCAGACTATATATTGCCTGCTATAGCCCTAGTGATGTAGATCAATGGAAGTAGAACTCTGGTCACGGCTCCCTTGGTGTGATGCAGGGGTGGTCTGCTGATGAGTGAGAGTCAGAAGCATTATTGCAGGGGGAGGGAGGAGCTGTAGTTTGTAGAACAACTTAGAACAACTGGGGAAGGGATGAAGCCTAGGCAGCTAGATAGAGGCAGTGAGAAGTAGAACTGGACACATCTCCCAACTGCTCAGGATTTGTATTCTGGAATAGAGAAAAACAGCAATATACCACTTATTTTTCCTCCTCCTTCCCCTTTTTTCTTCAGTATTTCTACTATCAAAGCAGACTTTTCTTCTAATGGTTAGAGATACCTGAGACATTGAGAAGCAGAACAGTAAGGATGGGAGAAAACAATGAGAATAGGGCCCAGGGATGGGGAATATGTGGCCTCGAGGCCACATGTGGCCTTCTGATTATCCTTTTATAATTCTTTTATCAAGGGGATTTGTTCTGGGAAGTTTGGATTCAGTCAATGGGTCATACTTGAGGACCTAGAGGGCCACATGTCGCCTCGAGGCTGCAGGTTCCTCACCCCTAGGATAGGCACTCCATGGGGAAAAGAAAGAGCAAAGTGGAAGGAAATTTTCAACAACATAGGAGAAGGAAGTTCCCATAGCACCCTGACTGAGGGACTAAAAGAACCACAGTGAATAAAAGAATAAAAAAGTATTTATTAAGTGCTTGTTATATGCCATGAACTTAATGGATAGTAAGCTGGCACGTGAAGGGACAACTGCCTGTATTAAAGGTAAAATTTATTGTTAAAGCTTTTTACACTACTCTGAAGATAGCCAGAATAATAGTATTTTATTAAGCTACTTATAACAAATGAATGATCAGCATAAGTATTTCTGTTCAGGCCCTGTAAATTTCAGTCACTCTTTAAAACAATATTCCTGATTACATGTGGTTTGCAAAATGCCTCCAAGTTCCATGTTGACTAATTTACTGCTAAAATTTAAATTCAGGAATGCTAAGGTCTAAGGAACCCTTATTTGGATGAAAGTAACTCACTTCATTGATCATCACTTCAAACATTCTAAACACGCTTACCAAAAATATCCATTTAAACTCCCAAACTAACAACCAAAGAGTCACATATACAATCAAGAAGCTTGGAGAAAGAGTTAAGTATGCATATGGCATCTTTTTTTCTTGCTATATTTAAAAAAAGTTTTTACTTGTTATCTGCCTCTTCAATGACCATGTCAACCCACCTGCTCAATAAATTTGAGTAGCTCCCTATTATTTCAGATCAAATATAAAATCCTCTATTTGGTTTTTCAATCCCCTCATGATCTATCCCTCTTTCTACCTTTCCAGTCCTCTTCACTTTATTTCCCTCCATGTACTCTACAATCCCATGACTCAGACCTCCTGGCTGTTTCTTACACAAGACATTCCATCTCCTGACGTCAAGCCTTTTCATCAGCTATCCCCCAACCTAGAAGGTTCTCTCTCCTCAGCTCTGCTTCCCAACTTCTCTGGCTTCCTCCAGGTCACCTAAAATCTCAGTTTGTGCAGGAAGCATTTCCCAGTCCCTCTTAATACTAGTGACTTTCCTCTGAAATTACCTCCAATTTACCCTGTATATATCTTGTTTTTACATAGTTATTGGCATGTTGCCTCCCCCATTAGAAAATAAGATCACTGAAGTCAGGGACTGGTTTTACCCTTCTTTGTGTCCACAGTGTTCAGCACAGTGCCTGACACATACTAAGTACTTAATAAATATTTATTGACTAATAATACTTTTTGCCAAAAAAAAATTTATAGACTTGTAGCCTAAGCCACCTAGTCTAACTCCCTCATTTTATAGATGAGAAAACTGGACCAGACAAGTTAAACGATCAAAGGTTACAAAGGAAATAACTGAAAGATTTAGTATTCATCCTCAGGTCCTATGACTCCAAATGTAGTGTTCTTTCCACTGAACCATACAACCTTCCAAAGCAAATACAATGTAAAGGCTTGAACTTGGTAAAAATAAACATAATTCTGTTTCTGAGCTGCATTCCTGGTTATTAAGAAAACATCAGCAACTTCTGGCTTGTTTATATTGCTTTCTCATCTCCATAAATTTTTTATGATATGATAGCATGCATGCATTAAGAGTATACTTGATGAATACATGAGATAGAAATACACAAAGTTTTGTGACAATTTTTATAGCACACCACATCTAAGTTAGTCTCCAAACTAACAGGTATAGAGAATGAAAACATACTTGTTCTACAGCTTTATTTTTTTTGGGAAATATATGTGTGTGTGTGTGTGTGTGTGTGTGTATACACACATACAAATACATATATATATATATATATATATAAAACAGGTGTGTGCATATCAACAGAAAAAAGATGCACTTCAAAGGTTCTTTCCTACATTTGTCAAAATATTAGAAGACTTTACAAGAGATGGGACAATAGTTATAATTCTGTTCAACAACCCACTGAGAATTAACACCAAGTTAGAGAAACAATACGGATGGATATACACATATATGTGTGTGTGTGTGTGTATATGTATGTATGTGTGTGCGTGTACAGACTAGAATGAAAAAGCATTTATTAAGCACTTAATATACATCAAGCACTATTCTAAGAGCTAGGAATACAAATAAAAATGTGAGACAGTCTCTGCTTTCAAGAAGCTTATACTATAACTGAGGGAAACAATACATAAAAAAGGATTCAATTCCTGGCAAATGAATTATGTACTTGGGTTCTGGCAAGGAAGGGACAGAAGTTAAGGCCCCAAGAAACTTAGGAAGCAGTGGCAGGGCAGGTGGTCCCCAACTAAGAGGATAATACCTCCAACGTTGAGTAGAGTTGGGCTCTAAAATACCTCTGACAGAGGTGGGGATGAGAGAGGAGGTTAGAGGAGAGGAAAGTGTTGGCATCCAGATGAAAGTGAGAAATGGCTTATGAGGCTGACTTGTGGAAGGGAAAAAAAAAATCTGTGATTTCCTGCCCTGACATCCAGGGATGTTAGTCCTGGTGGTCAAGCTACTCACTGGATTATCTGGGGCATTCAACAGTATCACAGAAGATGTCTTGCTCCAAGTCCAAAGAGAAAAACAATTCCCTAATAATCATGAGAATGTTATATGCAAATCCTCTTATGTGCAGATAATATGGTGCTAATTTCATTGAACTCCAGAGTACTGCAAAGACTCAATGAAAACTCTATTAGAAAAACATCAGTTTAAATATCTATACTGGAAAAACAAAGATGAAAAATGCATATTGCCTAGACTTTGGTTTCTAGAATTAGTTCAATCCCCTGAGCTAGTTCAATTAATATGCATATCTTGCATAAGTGCTGAAGTTAAACAATGAACTGGACATCAAAAATTGAGTAGTCCTATGTCTTATTTAGAAAACTATAACACTTTCACTGATTTTAAGCTACTTGATGCTTCAGAAATCCATCTCTTGAATACAAATATTCTTCTGCACAGTGCTGGAATATAGTAGGTGCTTAATAAATGTTTACTGGTCGACTGGCGATATAAAAATAAATATCAGAAGAATAAAAACTCTAAGTTACCCAAAGGGCAACAGAAAAGATGCATGTTTGGTATAAAAAGGTTATGGAATATTACCAGGGAAGATTTACATGCAAGAAATTGTATAAAAAACACTACTGAGAACATCTAGGACCAGAAAAAAAATGGTATGGCTTAGATATACTAAATATATAATGCTATTCAGAGCTGAGACTAGGATGAAAAAATGAAAGGGGTTTTAAGCACATACAGCTCAAAATGCCTAAGTAGGGGTTCTTAACCTTTTTGTTTTATGGACCTCTGTGGCAGTCTGGTGAAGTCTATGGATAACCCCTTCTCAGAATATTTTTTAACTCAATTGAAGGAAATGTTAAATTTCAGTTGGAGATTAGTGAAAATAAAGACGTAATTTTTTTTCCAATCCAAGTTCAAAGACTCTCTGAAATTTATCCATACATATGTTGGGGGTCCATGGAGCTCAGGTTAACAATCCTTGGTTTGAAGCCAATTTAGCCTGAGAAGCACCAATGTATACTGGATATGGCACTGTATTTGACTCAGGAAGGTTAGTGTCCAAATGCCATTTCAGACACTTGCTAGTTGTGTGATGCTGGGTAAGTCACTTAAACTCTCTGGGCTTAGCCTCTCAGTTTTCTCATTTACAAAAGGGGGGTGAGTGGGACTTAATGGCCTCTTAAGTTTACATCAGCTCTCAATTTATTCTCCTATAAATAAGGATTTTTTTACTTATTTTGTTTCTTGTCCAATACCAAGGCAACGCCTTAGACAATAAAAGTGCCTAGCAGATATTTGCTGAATGAATGAAATATAACATATTGAAAACTGACATCATCTTCCTTTCCATAGCAACACCATAAATTTTCATCATTATTGTCAGAGGCACTATGGTCCTAGAATTACAAATCACAATTAATACAAAACGATTAAATAAATGCCTTGAAAAAATTGTGTTCCAGATGGCAGATATGGTCATTACAGGAGCTCAACACAGACTTAAGCTCTGATATACTAAACACAACAACAAATGCTTTCTTCTAGATTTGTCACAGTCATTTTGCTATCAGATTCTTGGTTTGGAGGAAGAAGCCTTTATGTTTTAAGCCAGAAGGGAGATAGCATCATTAAATGACTCATATGAAGAAATCATGAAATCTCAAGATTAGTAATTTACATGAATGTTCACTTCTCCTACAATATTGCCATAAAACTAAAGAAAACCTAAAACAAATTCATTTAAGCATAGCATGGCATATTTCCACAAAAATATATTTTTTAATCTGAAATTAAAACTAAAACCAACTTGGTTTTGGTAATTTTACTTATATTGTTGGATGAAGTTTTACCTTACTTCAGCTGGTGGATTTGGGGAATAAGGATTTGCAGAACAAGCCAGAATTCTAATGATTGCCCCAGGATGATAAGTTTCCAGAACATGAACAGCTGTAGGATATACTGGTTCTTCAAAAGCAAGTTCTACATAGTCCTGGCTCTGAAAGTTTTGTGGAGTTCTCCTGAACGGCAAGGAAGCACTGGGACACTGATTCCACCATGTTCCATAAGTCCGAAATACAGCGGCCTGAGTAAAGTCCCCGGAACTTGGGTATACATTTGGTATGCCTGCCAAATTCCACATGGTGTATGACATACTGTTTTCACTGCCATAATGGGAACTGAAATCCAATACTTCTTTGGCATACTGGACTACTTCTGAATTAATAGGTAAAGTTCGGCTGTTTGATTCAATAGTTCTACGGCTGTTCATCATTTCTCCTCTTGTAGCCGTCCTGGCTCGGCGCCGAAGGCATATATAATAAAACATAGTCAGAACTGTTAACATGGGAAACACTGGTGACATCTAGATATGAATTATGATGCTTCTAAAGGTCAGGTGTCCTCAGTAAGGTGTTTTAACTCTTTGAAGGATCTTCTGAAAAAGAGAAGTGCTAAATGAAATAGAATGATTTGAATAGGTCAGAAAAACACTTTCAAAAATTCAATAAATAGGTTTTTCTTCAATCTTATTTGCCAGGAAAAAAAAACAAAATTGTTGAATGATATACACAAACTAAAGATTTGATATTTGAGAGCATAAATATATTTAATCAATCTACTAGTATTAAATGAAGTTTTAATTTCATTCATTTTTTTTAAGTCTGCATAGGAACTATATCTTAGAAATATATAAATAAGTAGATAGAAGTATGCTAATAACAAGAAATCTTTTTCTCTTTACATGTTATATCTATAAGCACATTTCAAGAAACATAGTCTTTGAATTTACTACTTAGTTAAAATATGTAATAGTGTGTTACATAAATATTTGATCTAAAACAAATTTAATCTAAAAAGTTGTCTTTGATACTGAAACAATTTCAAATTTTAATAGTCTCTATCACTCACTACTATACTCTTCCAAATGTGGATGGCACAGATTTTGCATTAAAGGAATATAGCTTTCTGAAGTTGATATTTCATCAAGACCTAATATATTGGCTATCTTACAAATTACAGATCACCAGAAAGTTTTAACTTACAATTCTTAGCATTATTTGTTAAAGCACTTTATGCCAGGCTGCCAGTTTGTCTAGAAAACATTTACCCAACATGTGAAATCACAGGATCCCCAAAAGAAACTCAGAAGTTGGCACTCATCCATAGGTCCAGAATAGAGGAATATTTTAGGTTCTATGCAGATTTCATATGCAGAAGCTGAAATAATAATTTTCACCTGAAAGGCAAAAGTTTAGGATTTATTAATAATAAATAATAGGTATTTTCTATTTCTAACTTATAAAATTAAATCACCTAAGAACTATTACAGATTGGTAAAAGAACTTTAAATGTAGTTATTTCATAACTGTCAACTATATTTTCAGTCACAGATCATACAGACTCTTCACTAAATGTTCACCTCACTATTAATTATATGACATACTTTGAAACAATGATTGTGTATAGTTACGAGATAATATTTAAAGATGCCTACATGATCAATAAAATTAAGCTGACCTGATTTCTACATGTAAAGTCTTGACCACTATTGAACTTAAGTTAAAAGAGAAAAGAATTTCTCACTCTAATGTGTGATTTGGTGTTTCTGATTTGGTCAAGTAACTTATCTATGCTCAAAGTGTGAGTTGGTTCACTGCAGGCAGGATTTTGGCAATCTAAAATGAAAAAAAACAAAATGCAAGCTGACTTGTAAAAAGGAGTTTGAGGAATACCTCTCCACATTCCAAGCTGTCAGGGATAACAAAGTATTGCTAAACAAAAAAAATAAAGCAAAACAGAAAAAAGAACTCCAGCATGAAAATAAAATGAGAAAAATATCTAAAGAAGCAAAAGATATTCCAGACCTATGTTACAAGTTTGGGGAGTGTGGAATGCTACACAAAGCAGAAAGTGATATCAGAAAGACCACTAAACACTTGTAGCTCAGAAACAAATTTAAGGCTTTTCCAGAAGAAAAAGAAGTTATATTTTGTGAGAAACAATGAAATGAATGTCCTCCAAGGAATGAAAAATTAAATGCCTAGGTGCCATTAGATGAAAGATAATCCAGTGTGGGCCACAGGGAAAAGAAGAGAATAATAGTTGATGATTTCTGTGCAGAAGGGTACTAAGGCACCTATTTGAGTTTTTTTTTAATAAAGTAATTAATTTTTAGTTTTCAAAATTCACTTCCATAAGACTTTTAAGTTCCAAATTTTCTCCTCCTCCTTCCTCTCTCTCCTCCCCAAGATGGTGTGCAATCTGATATGGGCTCTAGATAGACATTTATATTAAACATATTTTCCCATTAGTCACATTGTGAAAAAGAATTAGAACCAGTAAGAGGAGCCATGAGAAAGAAGAAACAAAACCGAGAGAGAGAGACAGAGACAGAGAGAGAGAGAGAGAGAGAGAGAGAGAGAATAATATGCTTCAATCTGCATTCAGACTCCATAGTTCTTTCTCTGGATGTGGATAGCATTTTTCATCATGAGTCTTTTGGAGTTGTCTTAGATCATTGCGTTGTTAAGAAGAGGAAGTCCATCAAAGTTTGTCATCATTCAATGTTGCTGTTATTGTGTACAATGTTCTCCTGGTTCTACTCACTTCACTCAGCATCAGTTCATGTAAGTCTTTCCAAGTTTTTCTGAAGTACACCTGCTCATTATTTCTTATGGAATAATAGTATTCCATTGCATTCATATACCACAACTTGTTCAGCCATTCACCAATTGATAGGCATCCCCTCAATTTTCAATTATTGGCCACCACAAAAAACTGCTATAAATATTTTTGTGCATGGTCCTTTTCTTTTTCATATGATCTCTTTGGGACACTGATCTAAAAGTCGTATTGCTGGATCAAAGGGTATGAAAAGTTTTATAGCTCTTTGGGCATAGTTCCAAATTTTTCTCCATAACACTTGGATCATTTCACAACTCCACCAACATGCATAAGTGTTCCAATTTTCCCACATCTTCTTCAACATTTATCATTTTCCTGTTTTGTCATGTTTACCAATATGATAGGTGTGATGTGGTACCTCACAGTTTTGATTTGCATTTCTCTAATCAAAAGCAAGTTAGAACATTTTTTCATATGACTATAGATGGCTTTAATTTCTTCATCTGAGAACTGCCTGTTCATATCCTTTGATCATTTATCAATTGAGGAATGACGTGTATTCTTATAAATCTGAATCAGTTCTCTATATATTTTAGAAATGATGCCTTTATCAGAGACACTGATTGTAAAAATTGTTTCCCAGCTTTCTGCTTCCCTTCTAATCTTGGTTACATTGGCTTTATTTGTACAAAAACTTCTCAATTAATTATAATCAATTATCTATTTTGCATTTCACAATGTTCTCTATCTCGTTTGGTCATAAATTCTTCTATTCTCCATAAATCTGACAAGTAAACTATTGCCTGCTCTCCTAGTTTGCTTATAGCATCAGCCTTTGTATCTAAATTGTTTACCCATTTTGACTTTATCTTGGTATAGTGTGTAAGATGTTGGTCTATGCCTGGTTTCTGCCATACTATTTTCTAGTTTTTCCAGCAGTTTTTGTTAAATAGTGAGTTCTTATCCCAGAAGCTGGAGTCTTTGAGTTGATCAAGCAGTAGATTACTATAGTCACTGACTACTGTGTCTTGTGTACCCAACCTGTTCCACTGATCCATCACTCTATTTCTTAGCCAATGCCAAGTAGTTTTGATAATTGCTGCTTTATAATATAAGGTCTGGTAAAGCGAATCCATCTTCCCTTGCATTTCTTTTCATTAATTCCCTTGATATTCTGGATGTTTTGTTCTTCTATATGAATTTTGTTATTATTTTTTCTAGCTCTATAAAATAATTTTGGTAGTTTAACTGGTATGGCACAAAATAAGTAATTTAATTTAGGTAGAATTATCATTTTTGTTATATTAGTTCAGCCTACCCATAAGCAGCTGATATTTTTACAATTACTTAGATCTGACTTTATTTGTACGAAAAGTGTTTTGTAATTGTGTTCAAATAGTTCTCGGGTTTGTCTTGGCAGGAAGACTCCCAAATATTTCATAATGTCTACAGTAACTTTAAATGGAATTTCTCTTTCTATCTCTTGCTGTTGGGCTTTGTTAGTAATACATAGAAATACTAATCATTCACGTGAGACTTTGCTAAAGTTGTTTATTATTTTTTATTTCATTTTATTTATTTATTATTTGTTTAATTTTATTTATTTATATTTTTATTATTATATATTTGTATCATATTTTATTATATTTATTATTACTTATTTTTATATTATGTATTATTATTATTTCAAGTAGTTGTTTACTTGATTCTCTAGGATTCTCTAAGTATACTATCATATCATTTGCAAAGAGCGATAGCTTTGTTTCTTCTTTGCCTATTCTAATACCTTCAATTTCTTTTTCTTCTCTTATTACTAAAGCTAACATTTCTAGTACAATACTAAATAACAGTGGTGACAATGGACATCCTTGTTTCACCCCTGATCTTGCTGGAAATCCTTCTACCTTGTACCCTTTACATATAATACTTGCTGATGGTTTTAGATAGAAGCTACTTATCATTTTAAGGAAGAATCCATTTATTCCTATGTTCTCTAGTGCTTTCAATAGGAATGGGTGTTGTATTTTGTCAATAGCTTTTTCTGCATCTATTGAGATAATCGTATGATTTCTGTTAGTTTTGTTGATATGGTCAATGATGCTGATAGTTTTCCTAATGTCGAACCAGCCCTACATTGCTGTTACAAATCCTACCTGGTCATTGTGCATTATCCTAGTGATAAGTTACTGTAATCTCTTTGCTAATATTTTATTTAAAATGTTTGCATCTATATTCTTTAAGGAAATTGGTCTATAATTTTCTTTCTCTGTTTTGGCTTTCTCTGGTTTAGGTATCAGCACTATATTTGTATCATAAAAAGAACCTGGTAGGACTCCTTCTACACCTATTTTCCCAAATAGTTTATATAATATTGGAATTAATTGTTCTTTAAATGTTTGATAGAATTCACTTGTAAATCCATCTGTTCCTAGAGATTTTTTCTTAGGGAGTTCATTGATGGCTTGTTCAATTTCTTTTTCTGAAATGGAGTTAAAATTTAAGTATTTTATTTCCTCTTCTGTTAATCTGGGCAATTTATATATTTGTAAATATTTGTCCATTTGACTAAGATTGTCAAATTTATTGGCATACAGTTGAGCAAAATAGTTCCTAATTATTGTTTTAATTTCCTCTTCATTGGTGGGGAATTCACCCTTTCCATTTTTGATACTAGCAATTTGGTTTTCTTCTTTCTTTTTTTAATCAAATTAACCAAAGTTTATCTATTTTATTGTTGTTGTTTTTTCATAAAACCAGCTCTTAGCTTTATTTATTGTTCAAGAGTTTTCTTAATTTAAGTTTTGTTAATCTCTCCTTTGGTTTTCAGAATTTCTAATTTGGTATTTATCTGGGGATTTTTAATTTGTTGGGGGTTTTTTCCAGCTTTTTTAGTTGCATGCCCAATTTACTGATCTCCTGTTTCTCTATTTTATTCATGTAAGCACTTAGAGATAAAAAAATTTCCCCTAAGAACCACTTTCACTGTATCCCATAAGTCTTAGTATGTTGTCTCATTACTGTCATTCTCTTGGATGAAATTATTGATTACTTCTATGATTTGTTGCTTCACCCACTCATTCTTCAGAATTAGATTATTCAGTTCCAATTAATTTTTAGCCTATCTTTCCATAGCCCTTTATTACAAGTAATTTTTATTGCATCATGATCTGAAAAGGATTTTAATTTAATCCCATGAAAAGGCATTTAATATTTCTGCCTTTCTGCATTAGATTGTGAGGGTTTATGCCCTAATACATGGTTGGTGTTTGTGTAGGTGCCATATACTGCTGGAAAAAAGGTATATTCCTTTCTTTCCCCATTCAATTTTCTCCAGAGGTCTACCATATCTAACTTTTCTAAGATTGTATTTACCTCTTTAATGTCTTTCTTGTTTATTTTGTGGTTAGATTTATCTACTTCTGAGAGAGGGAGATTGAGGTCCCCCACTAGTACAATTTTACTGTCTATTTTTTCCCATAACTCCCTTAACATCTCCTCTAAGAATCTAGATGCTCTACCGCTTGGTACATATATGCTTAGTAATGATATTACTTCATTGTCTATGGTACCTTTTAGTAGGATATCATTTCCTTCCTTACCTCTTTTAATTGG